TAATTTTTGTGTTAAATATGAATGATTTATGCAAGAATTTTTGTATTAATTTCTTGAGAATATATTTATTTTTTGTGTTGTATAAGTATGCAAGAATGTCTTAGTTTTTATAATTATTTTGCATTAAATTCAAAATGGGTAAATCAATTAGTTTATTAAACTATGAATGTAGTATTTAACATGTCATTGTCTGACTTTATATACAAATCTCATTTGGAATAAAGAATTGTTGTAATGTTGTCAAAGGTGGTTGGTGGCGGCGTGTGATGGTGGTAGAGTTTGGGTTTGACTTTTCTAAATTTGAGAAGTAGTGTAAAATAAGTTATATTAAGTTGTAAATTTTGTGTATTAAAATGTAAATGGACTATATAAATATAAAGTTGTATTTTATATATGTTTTGTGTTCAAATATGAATAAATGCATTAATGAAAATATTAGACTAAAAAAAATTACTAACTTGCCATTTTCTTACCAAAAAGACAAAAATCAAGATTTTAACATACTTGAAAATATTCACAACACATATTAACTTATTAAATGAGGGTTCTTAGTCTTTTCTGGTTCTCATTTGAACCACTCCATATATATATATATATATATATATATATATATATATATATATATATATATATATATATATATATATATATATATATATATATATATATATATATATATATATATAGGGTTAGGTTCATGTGAGACGGCTTAATTTTGTGAGACCGTGAGACGCAATCCCAGCCACTCATTTAGTAGATAAAACAAAAACATTTTTAAAATGCAAAATAATTGAAATTTTTCGAATTTTTTTCCAATATTGTTTTCGAAATATATATTTTTCAAAAAAAAATAAAAAAATACCAAAAAAATTAAAAAATAATACATTTTTTTTTACATATTCTAGTAATATTCTATTAGAATATTTCACGTATTTAAAAAAAAACGGGATTTTTTTTAGTTAATTCAAGTTCCGAAAATAATATTTAAAAAAAGAATTTTTGGATTTTTTCCATTTAGTTTGCATTTTAAAATTATTTTTTGGAATATGTACAATGTAATATTCTATTAGAATATTCCACGTATTTTTTAAAAGAAAACGGGATTTTTTTTATTTGTTTTTATTTTTTTTAGTTAATTCAAGTTCCGAAAATAATATTTAAAAAAAGGATTTTTGGATTTTTCCATTTATTTTGCATTTTAAAATTATTTTTTAGAATATGTACAGTGTAATATTCTATTAGAATATTTCACGTATTTTTCAAAAAAAAAAAAAAAACGGGATTTTTTTTAGTTAATTCAAGATCCGAAAATAATATTAAAAAAAAAAAATTTTTGGATTTTTCTATTTATTTTGCATTTTAAAATTATTTTTAGATTTGGTCTCACAGTCTCACAAAATTAGAATGGTATCAAATGAACCTTTATATATATATATATATATATATATATATATATATATATATATATATATATATATATATATATATATATATATATGTGTGTGTGTGTGTGTGTGTGTGAAATTAAAGTTGCAAGGTTGTTAGAAGGTTTAGTTACGTTTAAAGAGAAAAATTTAAGTTTAATTCACTAAACATGACAAACTAGATCACTTTATATTCGATCATGCCTTGACCTACCTAACAATTGAGGGACTTATTTAATTGGAAGGTTTTTAACTAGGGTTAACTTAGTAAACTATGAAAGTTATTTGGTGGTTTGACTTTATTTGTGGTCAAATGTAAACAACATAGAAATTGAGGGGTTGTTTGTGTAACGACCGTAAAATCGTTACTTCATGATCAAAAAATTAAGGAAAATGATGTGTTCGAATGCAAGAATAAAAAGTTAGAAAGTACATTGCCATTTAGAGAAATTCAACAAAAAATCAAACATGTAGTAAACATGGCGTGTAGCATAAGGATATGTAACATTTCATTTATAATTTGTCAGGTAACAATGAATAGATATATAGTTTGATAATTAATAACCGAAATACAAACACCATAAACAAAAAAAACGAACTAAATCCCAAATAAAACTATGCAACTATGCACACTATAACAAAAAACTTACTACTATTGCACTCCCATTTTGAAGAAGTCGTCAAACAGTTCAAATAACGACACCAATGGTAATGTTGGTACCCATTTTCCATGATACATCACTAAACCTGTGGTAAATTTGCATTACAATTTACAATATCACATCCACATCATCTTGCCGTTAACAAATTTATAAATTATCGAATTTTGTTGTTCTCTTTTTTTTTTTTTTTTTTTTTTTTACAAAAATAAGTTGGAAATGACTATAAACTATCAGGGTTGGTGATAGGGGTGGGCAATAAGGGCTTGTGCATAGGGCCCAAAATTTTCAAGGACCCAACTTTTTTTTTTTTACTATATTCAGTTAAGCATTTTTAGCCCAAAGCAAAGATAGTCCATTTCAATCTCTTAATTAGTCCATGCGCGAGAAGAAGAAAGTATCGATCAAACGTAGCAGAAAAGATAGATCATCGAGATCGATCATTGACGCTTCAACCTTCAGCGACAGAATCGACTAGCGAGGGCACTCCTGCAAACCTGTTATTCTGCTATTTTGCTAAGTGCTAATCAAGTAAGTAATCGATTAATTGATCAATGTCATTGAAATCTTCAACTCCTCCATAACTGTGTTGGAACAATTTGTACTTGTTCGGTTTGTAATTGAATGTCTATGTCATTAATTGATAATGTCATTAATTAACAAGTTTGTAATCTATTAGAAATGTCTATGTCATTAATTGATTAATTGATCAATATCATTAATTGATTAGTTTGTAATCTGTTGCAACTTAGACAATACGATAAAAATATTTATACAATGAGTGAGTCGTAATTGAATGTCTAATTGCCTGGTATCATTTATCATTTTTAGTTTGTAATTTAATGTCCATTACTAATTTGCTATCACGAATGCTAGGAGAGCTAATTACTTATTAAAATACAATGATTTTGTTATGTTTATTGTTATAAAGTTTATCCTCATTTAAAAAAAATAGTTTATGTAATTTAATTCGTTACATGTTAAGATCTAAGGGTCATTCTATTCTTGCTCGTCCTGAGTATTTGAATCCTTAAGATCAGTCCTGTAAACTATAACAAATTATGAAAAATTGAAAACCCAATTATCAATCCGATTGATGGATTCAAAAGAATCCAACACAATTTTGGATTCACTGGTTAGTGATTATAGTCTTTGTTTATTTTTTTTCAACGAATCCAATATAATTTTGGATTCACTTGTTAGTGATCATAGTCTTTGTTTGTTTTTTTTCAACCAATGATGGATTCAAAAGAAATCCAACAAAATTTTGTATTAATTTTGGAAACCATTAACCTATTACAAAATTTGGTTTTAAGCTCGATAGCAAATCTATTACAAGTTTACAACCGATTAAAAATGAAATATATACATTAAGTTCTAATTTTTTCAGATTTGACAAAAAAGTCCTAAACTTTATTCATTTGACAGTAAAATCCAAATTACAGACAATTTTTGACACTTTTATCATTTTTTCCCGGTTAGCCGGTAATTATAACTTTTTGTCAAAAAAAAAAAAGCTTAGGATTTTATTGTCATATCGTCAATTAGGACTTTACTGTCAAAAAAATAAAGTTTATGATTTTCTTGTCAAATCGTTGAAAATATTGAAACTTTAGTGTATATATCATTTTTTTGTTAGAAATTTAATGGTATGATACTTTTTAAACATAAGAGTTATTGAAACCTTCTCTAGTCAGCTAGATCTTATTGAAATCTTTAACGTTTGCTTCTTGTTAAATTGTTTTTTTAATCTCAACAAACCGATATTGAAAAAAATAGAGATAATCAAGAAAGAAAGAACTAGGATTGTGTTGTTTGTGTTTGTATAATCTGTCTTCACTTTTTAGTTCAAGATTTGGTGGCGAGACAAGAAGAAAGTTTTTCAAGGGTGATATATATATATATATATATATATATATATATATATATATATATATATATATATATATATATATATATATATATATATAAGATTAGGATCAAATGAGAACACCTAAAAAATTGAGAACGTAAGAACAGATCTGGACCATCTAAATACTAAGATCTATGGTTAATATTAAATGGGTGATTTATGTAAAAATCTAAAACTATTGGCATTTATGTGTAACTTTTAAATGGTAAGAAGAGTATTATAGGAATCGCAACTTTGCCTATTTCCTATAATTTCTCACCCTCTTACCTATTACCTTTCTAATTTTCGTATCTATATCCTCTTTATATCTCTCTCTAGGGTTTCATAAGACGCATCGACTGAACAACCGACACTGACTCTCCATTTCCCCTTTATACGCATCGTCGCTTCCATCACTGAAGATCCCATCGGCTTGACGACTTATACTCATCGGCTGACGGCGACATCTACTCACCAGCGCAAGGCAGCGAACAGTGGTAGACCCCGATGATGACGTTCGTTCTTCATCGTCATCGTCACATTCAGAGTGAGACTTACAGCCGACATATCTTTTTCTTAACCTTGTCGGCAATTTGGTGAACTCGATTGCTACTCATCGGTGGTAGCAAGCAGCGATACACTACTGGATTTTGATCATCCACTCCGGAGCAGCAGGGTAGTGACGAAGTACTCTGAATCAGGTAACATTATGTTTTTTTCCTTTCAAATGCTGTTCGAAATCCACCTCTTCTCTTGATTGGATCCTTACAATGCTATATATTGTTCGAATTTGTACATGTGTAGTTTTTTTCTTGCAAAATCAATTGGAAAGCCAAATGTTATGCTGATTTGAACCTCTTCTGCTTTTTATTTTATTATATGCACCAAAGATTCACAATTCTTTTGCTTGAAAATGTTTCTCAGGGATGGTACTTTACTCATTAAAATTGGCTAATAGGGGAAGAAGATAAGTTGTGCACATAAGGTGCTCGATGAAATGCCTAAATTCAGAAAAATGGAACTTGAATGCTTGCAGTTGTAATCTTATACGAATATAATGTCAGATGTCTCATTTTACAGTTAATCATCAATGAATACTCCATGAGGCTGGTCCGAGAGGAGCAAGGCAAGCAACCACAGCAATTCAGGTGAGGGGAAAAAGCCAAGAGGCTGCTGCCTCTTTTGATTTAACCGGAAATACAACCCCATCCTGGTGGTTATTCTTTGTAGGGAACGAAGAAGAAGAAAGGGAAAGAAGGAGCAAAAATCAGTTCATCAATTTCAACAACAAAAAGTGGGTTCAATGGAGGTTTCTTGGCTCTTGATTTATTCAAAATTCAACAACTAACGATGACTAGAAAGGTAATTTTTTGTAGTTGTTCTTGGTCTTTGATTTCACAAGCAAATTAAGCATTAAAATGGTACTTTTGGTGTGGTAATACTTGACAAAAAGGAATGAGAAAAGAGATGAATTGAGGGTTGAAACGAAAGGGCAACAACTATTTTCTTATATTGATTTGTGAATATCAGTATATTTATGTGTGAATTTATGTTTGAATGACTATATTTATTTATGAATAACAGGGTATTCATTTGTAAATATCAGTGTATTTATGTGTGAATGACTATATAATTATACATAATTGTTTCTTTAACATTTTTGCAGATACAATGAATAAACATACATATAGTGGGAGGTGGGAAATTTACCAAAGAAACATCTACACCAATACCTTTTTCGGAAGGAGCACGAATGTGTTTTATTCATTTATAATTGTAATTGTAGTACTAGTTTTCGTGTAAAAATATATATATATATTCTAACTTATTCATTTACTATTATAATTATATTCTTATATGAATAGAAATGTGTTTTATTTATTAATATATGAGTACCATTTTAGTTGATTTTATAATCTTTTTTTTCGGGTTTTATTCATTTATGATTTTACAAGTGTATTCATAAATACAATTGAGTTAATTCATTTATAATTTACAATTTTATTCATTTTTAAATGAAATGTATAAATCATTATTTATGAAGATATATTTTTTTTTAAAATAAATGAGGTAAACCGATAAATTATTCATTATCTTGATATTTGATTTCCAAAAAATAAAAACATAAAAATGAAAAATGAAATGAAAAAAAAAAAACGTTTTCTTAGATAGATATTAAATCATGATTTTATTAATTATTGGTTCATTAAAGAAAATGATCTAAAAATGAGATATTTTGGGTAATTGTCATCATAATCACTAAAATTTAGGATATCATAATTTAATTAGATGGTAAAATTCCATTTATGTCCTCATAAAATGACTGGTCTACAACTGTTCTCGCGTTCTCAACCTTTTAAGTGTTCTTATTTGATCGTCTCCCTATATATATATATATATATATATATATATATATATATATATATATATATATATATATATATATATATATATATATATATATATATATACCATTAAATTTTCTAACTGACTAGAGAATTTTTCAATAACTTTTATGCTTAAAGAGTATCATACCATTAAATTTCTAACAAAAAAATGGTATATATAATAAAGTCCCAATATTTTCAACTATTTGACAAGAAACTCTTAAACTTTATTTTTTTGACAAAAAAAAAATCCTAATTACCGGCTAACCGGGAAAAAAATGATAAAAGTGTCAAAAACTACCGGTAATTTGGATTTTCTTGTAAAAATTTTTTTTAAGATTTTCTTATCAAATCGATAAAAATATTGAGAATTTAGTGTATATATCTCATTATAAATCCAATCACAACCTTGTGTCTATGCCTCTCTAAATTTACTCGATGTTTTAACGATAATATCGATTGATCTATTGACTTCAAAACAGTTTAGCTATCCAACTTTTGTGTATTATAAAAATGTGATGTGTGACAATACTTTGAAGTATGTATGGCGTGACATGTAGTTGGGCCATTATAAAAATGTGATGGATGACATTATGAATTTACAACTAATTTAATAAAAAATATGAATTATTGATCGAACATTTGAACTATATAAAATTAAAGACATGCATGTGTTATAATCAATCTACCTCTATAGTCTATACTAAATTACAAAAAAGCATAGATGTAAAATTAAAAAGTTAATACTAAGTATACATTTTTCACCTTCAAAAATAAAACGTGATCTAACTTATGTTATAACGAAAAGTTTGATTATTATTAAAAATATTTCAAATGTGATCTAGAAAACATAAAAAGAAAAAAACCCTCATAAACTACAACAAAAATGACAAATTCTAAGCAATAATAATTAAATAACCAGACGTGCACAAACATTAACATCCCTAAATCTGGTTTCATATATGCTTGGACGACTTTATATTTTTACAAATTATGCCCAATTAAATGAATCAAAAATTCTGTTTTGATTTATTTAACTCGTTATATTAAAAAAAATAACAGTTTTTTATATAATAAGTTCATATATCTTTATCAAAATATGTAAAAAGTTAGATATCTACTTCATTACATAACTAAAAACATATAACCTCATAAAAAATTTAGGTATCTACATCTACCTCATTAAATTGACAGCATACCTTTTATCTTTTATAAAAACATGACATCCAACTTCTAATTAATCATCAAAATAGAAAAAATAATAAGTAAATTAATATTTTTAATAAAAAATATATATTAAATAAAAACAGTATAATACGTTGAAAACTGGTATGATAGTGTTAAAGAGGGAGGGAGATATCGAGAGCCCCATGCTTTAAACACTGTTCAAACATTTTCACTTCTCTTCTTCGAATGAAGAAAGATTTGACAAAATTTGTGCGTTTTGGGGGAAATTAAGAACCCTAATTTACGTTTCTGCAAAATCGTAAGCATAAATTATTGATTTGCTGTATGTCACATACATGAAAAGGTGAAAAAAGTTAAAAAACGCATCTTCTTCACCGTATCTCCGTTGCCTGTTGTCTGTCCCTTTCTTCACCCGCTGTGTACTTTTCGAAACTTACCTCTCACCAGATCCGTCGCTCTCTTCTTCCAAATCCTTAACCCTACATCTACACCTACTTCATCGCCATCAGTAAATGCAGCAGTCTTCGAGTATTCTTCAGGTAAACACTGCTCATTCACTCTCCTTTTGTTAACTGTAATCAGTACAGCATTTTTTTTAAACTTTAATTATTGTCGGTTTTGGAGCTTTTGCTTTTTTTGAATTTAGTATCTCTCACTCACTCCACCACCCCCACCAAATCTATCATTATTCATCACTAAAGTTCAGGTTTTGTTCCGGATTATTTGCGCTTTTGTCTTGTAAACTGTTGCTTGGAATTGAATGGGGCCCGATTGGGTGTATGTTGTCTAGTCGTTTTGATTTGACATTTTGACTTGTTCAATGGATTTAGATCTGATGCTTAGTTGATCGTTTCCATTTGCAGAATTCTTAGAAATTTTCACCGGATAATCGATTATCGAATGATCAGCCTGACATAACTTTCAAATCCGGAATTCAAAAGGTCGATTCTTGCCAAGCATTCTGTAGTATAACAGGCTAGGGTTTTGATGGAGGGACGAGTGAGAAAGTACGGACATCACCATCAACAATTGAGTCCTGATAGAGCTAAAGTCTGGAAGGAGAGGTCTCCTAGGTATCAGCAACGGCAACCTGAGCCGGAGCCGGAGCCGGAGCAGGAGCAGGAGCTAGAGCTACATCAGAAGAGTCGGAAAGTCCCTGTGGTTTACTATCTCTGTAGAAATCGACAGCTTGAACATCCTCACTTCATCGAAGTTCCGCTTACTTCATCAGAGGGTCTTTTCTTAAGAGGTATACATAATACATATCATCTCACAATCAAATCCACGATTCTCTGTTTTAATGAAATAGTTAACCCGAGAATTTCGTAAACATTTCTTGCAGACGTAATTGAAAAACTTAATGTTCTCAGAGGAAGAGGCATGGCGTCAACATACTCATGGTCTTGCAAGAGGTTTACAAACTTTCTTTTTCCTTATCAAATTCATATATCTGGTTACAAAAGTTTGATGGATAAAGATCTTATTTTGCTTACAGGAGTTACAAAAATGGATTTGTCTGGCATGATCTTTGTGAAGATGACCTAATTCTTCCCGCTAATGGCAATGAATATGTTCTTAAAGGCTCAGAACTCGTTGAAGAATGTAATTCAGGTACATATATCTTCTCAACTCCTCTCATATCCCTCTTACTTCACCACTTCATACACCCATCTTCATTCTTCACATCTGGAAACTCAAAAAATATCAATTTTTTTTTTCATATTTCATAGGTCGTTTCACACCTCCCATAAAACTACAAGCCCTAAAACAATTACCAGAACCACCATCTTCAAGAAGTCAAGATGACTCATCATCTTCAACAAGCATGAGTGGTGTTTCCCCTGAATCAAGAGGTGAAAAATCCACAACATCAGGTGGTTGTCTAAGCTTAACAGAATACAAAATCTACAAAACCGATGGTCTTGCAGATGCTTCAACTCAAACAGACGAAAACATAAAAGGTAACAATACCAATCACAATAACAATAACATTAACAAACCCCAAGAAACATGCACACGTGGCGTTTCAACTGATGACATGGCAGTAGACTCATCTCCTCAAAACCTTAAACAAAACCCCGAGATACAACCAGACCCATCTCCACCTTCTTCCTCCACGAGTTCTTCAATAGGAAAAACAGAAACTTTGGAATCTTTAATCAAAGCTGATGCTAGTAAGTTAAATAGTTTTAGAAGACCAGAAATTCAAAGCAACACAAAGCTTAGGGCTACAGATATGTTGATGCAATTGATTTCATGTGGGTCAATTTCTGTCAAAGATCACAGCTTTGGGTTAATCCCATCTTACAAACCAAGATTTTCAGATTCAAAATTCCAATCTCCTTTGTTTTCAACATCTGTAATGTTGGGGGATCTTGATTGTTTGCCTGAAAATCCAAGATTTATGAGTATGAGGTTAGAAGATAAAGAATACTTTAGTGGGAGTTTAGTGGAAACAAAAGTCATCAAAGAAGAAGGCGTCCCTACTTTAAAAAGATCATCTTCCTACAATGCTGACAGGTTTGTAATCTTTGTAATTTATATTTCCAATTTTACCTCTCTACAAATATAGTAAAAGTACATTGTTATTATACCAATTTTATATGGATCTTGAAATGCAGGAGTGAAAATAGCGATCAAGTTTCAGAAACAACAACACGTACAAAGTGCATACCAAGATCACTCAAGGGTAAAAACGTAAAAAGTGAACCAATGAGATCTCCTATTTCTGATGGGCCTAGAATTTCATCAGAAGGCCCAAGTTCAAGAATCGTGTCACCTTGCCCTTCGAATTGCAGTAGTAAAAGAATGACAACCAAGAAACAATCAGGAAGATTGGAGTCTTTTCGGGAAGAGAAGGATAATATGGTCAAAATCGAAGAAAGTTAAGTTGTAGTCTGATTTCCAAATTTACCCTTCACTCTTTCTTTCAATATGTGCAATGTACTTCACTCTTTTCTTACTAATATATCTAATGTACTTTTTTCTTTTACCCATGATATCAATATCATTGTATTTTTAGACAATATACAGAAAAGCCACTATATTTTAAAGCGGCTTTTCTGTAAATTGCCCTTATATTTTTTAACTGATAATAGCAACATGTTGACTATTTGCTATCCATAATATCAATGTGTTTACTTACATTTTATTAATTATAAGCAAATACGTAACAAATAAAGTAAATTGCATATTTGTTTAAAAATGTAAAAAAAATTGTTATTATGGGTAAAAAACTAAAAATAAAGTAAATATGGTTGAGACTTGAGATTTTTAATTTCATGATAACAGGCTGGCTTCAGGAGCTAGGGTTATAATTCATTCAGAAGCACCATGTGATACAGAAATTTACTCGTAAGTTTGTTGAAATTCTTGTTGTATTCAAAATTGTTGTCTGATTTAGGCAATTAGAATTCTTCCATGGGTATTTTGGTAAATTGGGTCTGTGAAAAAATTTGAAAAATATCCAAGAAAAAAAGGTGGGAGTAATTTAAGGAGAGGTGGGGTGAATTGAGTAGCCTCTCCCTTTTTGCCTTTTTATAGTCAGCTTTTATGGCTTTACAACTATAGATTCGGCTTTCATTATTGCATAGATTCTATTATTCTATTATACCTCCTTTTGGCATCCCTTAGGCTTTTAAATCACTTGCTTAAAAAGATGAAAGTTTAGTTATTTTATATTTTATAAAGACAAGAAAATGATAGGTTTTGAAAACAATTTGAAATAAAGATTTATTTATTGGTGAAGATGTGGACAAATCATGGTGATTTCACTGCCACATATATGAGTGGTGGTGTGGGTTATTTATATATATTCGTGAAGTTTTGTTTTTATATGACATTGAAAGTAGGAAAAGAGATACATTGACTTGGGAAAGTCAACACATAGGATTCTCTAGTGACTTTGTGCTTTTTTATATATGCTAAAAGCCGATCTCCAAGTCAAAATTTACTAAATTTGTTACTTTATTTTATTTGTCGGAAGTTGAGTGAGAACCAATGAGATTAAATAATCTCAAAGGACAAAAATAAATTATTTGATCACAATTGAATAAACTAGCTTTCCTATGGACAATCCAAAATTAAGAATAAGAAACAATTATGTCATAGTATCGTCTTTCCTAGGGTTTTCGTTCCAAATATCATTTTGTCCGGATTATGAACTGCTTTAATAGCCGAAGCCTACACCTGAAAATTGCTTCAGGAGAATACCACACCAATTAAAGATCCATTTTAAATTTCTTCTAATGCATAAAACTTATTTTTTACTCATTTATCTTGGCTCCCCTCAAAAAAAAAAAAAAAAAAAAAAAAAATCTAAGTCTAATTTTCTCTAAGAAATTGAGAATGCATTATGGAGATTTGAAAATAGAGAAGTAGTAAGTTAGGGGCTGTTTGTTTTTTGTTTGAAGATCTGCGCAACCACTTTTGTCTGCGCCGCGCAGACAACGCGCAGACATATGCCCTCGCAGATTGTTTGTTTTTTGGAAGTGTGCAGATCAGAAAACGTCTGCGCGAGGTCTTCCTGGCGCAGACATGGGCCACTGTCTTCAAAGGTCTTCAGACCTCATTTTAACCTAAAAAAAAAAAAAAAAAAAACATGGCCACCGTGCAGTTTTTTTTTTCTTTCATTTTTTTGTTAAAAATACATTTTTAATGTTTATAACATGAAATTAAGTTTAAAAATTCAATTTATTTTAACGGCCCGCAGACGTTAAAAACAAACAGTCTTCTTATTGCAGATTGCAGACATTTGGTCCACCTCTTCTGCCGCAGAGGCTTGCAGATGTGGTCTGCAGACTGCAGACATTTTGACTTCAAAAAAACAAACAGCACCTTAGTATACCATCAATCAATAACATTTTAACCTTTTTCGTTAGAAAGCTTTTTTTTTTTTTTTTTTAAATGGATCATCATAACTTCCAACCTTCTATCCAACTCATATTGGATCCAAACGGTAAACCAAAATAAGTAAACGGAATCTTACCCGATGTGCAAACAATAATCTTCACTAAACAATCAATCTCCACTTCCGAGATACCCTACTTTTATCAATCACGTGTCTTCGAAATCTTTCAAGGTGCTTTATCATTACGACAACTCCAAACCGCATTCTTGACTTCGTCCAACGAAAAAGAAGCCTCCAATATATCTCTATTGTCAATCGAAATCTTTTTGAATATGTTATTTACAAATTTGGGTCTCTCCAGATCATTTTCATCAAATTTGGAGGAGAAAAAACTTCTTTATGCATATAGGGTCCATCTTCCCCCCCCCCCCCCCCCCCCCAATTGTAAGACCATTTATAATGTTTTTTCTTAGAGAGAATTTTATACATGTCCTTCTTAAACATCAAAATATCATATTTACTCTTTATAAAATTTTTAAATATCATATTTACCCTTCATAAAATTTTAAAATATCATATATATCCTTTTTAAACATCATATATATATATATATATATATATATATATATATATATATATATATATATATATATATATTGATGTCATATTTTGATGTTTAAAATGATACATATGATAAAATTTTATGAAGGGTAAATATGATATTTTGATGTTATATATATATATATATATATATATATATATATATATATATATATATATATATATATATATATATATACCCTTCTTAAATATCAAAATATCGTGTATGCACTTTTTAAACATTAAAATATCAATGGTAATATTTAAAATATCTTCCATCTACAACATGATAGTAATCAACAACAACAAAAACTAAACAATCAGAATATATATTCAAGAGAGAGGGTTGAAGATGAATCTTTTTGTTTCTTAAGAGTACGATATTTCAACAATTTAGAAGTTTACATTCCATTATCATAGACGTAATGATAATATGGTTAAAATTTTTAATTATTATAATAATTCTAAGGTATAAAAAAATGATTTTAAAATATTAAAAACATTATAAAAATGAATTTGGACAAATATGATATTTTGAAGGTTTATAAAGGGTAAATATGATATTGAGAAATTAAGTTGGGCAAATATGATATTTTGAAGTTTAAAAGAGGCATATATGAAATTCTCCCTTTTTCTTATTATCCCCATTGATAACTCCATGGAAAAATTTACTATTCTCGTCTCCTTCGACCTCCTATCTTATTCTTGCATTTTGTTTTAGATCAAGCCTCCTGATGGAGTCGATTTCAATAATCCTGTATTTCCAATTTTTTTCCTCATCAATCGTTCTGCAGACAACAAAGCATGGGTCTCATCCTGGATCTCCAAGTCATCAATTTTAGTCAACAATTTGGAATATTTATACTTTTCCTTTGACCTCAAATCCGATCACCAAGTCCTTATATCACTTTTTATGAGCTTGAAGTTTTTTAAGTAATTTCAAATCAACCCTCCTATTCTCAATCTAATTCGCCCAAGACAATCGCACAACCTCTGGGAGCCCATCTAACCACAACCAAGAATTGAAGAATTTGAAAGATAAGGGTCCAAACTCAAGAGTGTCACTGATGAGAACAATAGGGTTGTGATTAGAATACAGTATAGGAAGGACCATAACTGCAGTTGTAGCCCACCTAGATAGGAACAAATCATTTGCTAAGAACCTATCAAATAGGTGAATTTTCTACCCCCCACCCCCCAATGTTAAAATTAAACAACTCTACGTCACAAATAAAAGAGTTAAAATCTTCCATACTATAGTCACAAGCCAACATTGAAAAATGATTTTCTTTACAGCGAACTTCGTTGAAATCTCCCATAAAAAGCCAATTACCATTTTGTTGTTCTTGATATCTTTTAAAGCATTCCAAAGCACCAATCTCTCCTTGAAATTATTTAGAGCATAAACATTAACAAAATTTACCCTCTCTTGTATACTAATTTGGTTACTTGAAATCATAATGAAGGACCTGTCTTTAACAACCTCAATAACCCCAAAAATCATGGGATTCCAAAGACAAAGGAGACCAGTCGACCTCCCACTGGAATCCACCCTTACAAATCTGAAACTTGAGTTATCCCAAAACTGATCAACCTCAACTGAATCCATCTTCACTTGTGTTTCTTGACAGCTAATAAAACTTATTTGATGTTTAAATTTTAGCTCACGCACCCACTCTTGTTTATACGCATCCCTCACTCTTCTTAAATTCAAAGACATATAAATCATTGGATCACTTCTTTAGCACCGTCACCTTGAATTACCCTTTTCATAACTTCTTTATTACCATCCATTTGATAACCCATCATCAGCCCCAAATCTAAGGTTTTCAAAATCTCCACATAAGTAGAGCTTAACGATGCCGACTGAGTCACGTTCTTCTCAAAATTCCTTTTAGCAACATGTCGTTGCCCATGAATCCCGCTCTGGTTAACGAGGTATTCCAAGAATTTGACCTCCCGTAACCAAAACTCAAAATTCAAGAACTTGGCATAAAGCCTCTCCCTCCTAAAAAATCCCAACAACTTCTAAAGGTGTTCCTTATGATGCTCTCTGGTCGTGGAATAGACCAAAATATCGTCGATAAAAACAATGACCGAACGGTCGAGCATCGGCCTGCATACCCAATTCATCAAATCCGTAAATGTTGTCGACGCATTGGTGAGCCCAAATGGTACCACCACGAACTCGTAATGACCATAATAAGTTCAAAACGTTGTCTTCTACACGTCCTCCTCTCTAACTCTCATTTGGTGATATCATGACCTCAAATCGATCTTGGAGAACCAAGATGTACCTTGCAGCTGATCGAAGAGATCATCAATCCGTGGAAGTGGGTAACGATTCTAAACCGTTAACTTGTTCAACTCCTGATAATCAATACACATGTAGTGAGACCTATCCTTCTTCTTCACAAACAAGATCGGTGCTCCTGAAGGCAAACTACTTGGTCTAATAAACTGTCTGCCCAATAGCTCCTAAAGTTGAGAGGACAACTCCTGCATCTCTGGTGGTGCTAATCGGTATGGCGCCTTAGGTCTCGTTTAATAGTTTCTGTTCGGGAAAATGTTGTTAGGGAAAGTGTTGTATGGAAAAGTTTTTTGTCCGAGAATGAAACCATGTTATTTGATTGTATATCTGATTGAATGTGTTGAATGATGAAAAATGATAATATTACCTTGGTGTTCTATACTATGATGAATGAAGTTGTTGAATAATTATAAAAACATACAAAATGTCATATAAAATCAAAATTACATAATAATCATTTAAAAATCCAAATAGAATGTCGATTAAGTTGTTTTTAGTTTATTTTTTGTTCAAGTTGACGCTACATTGTTATTCTTTCTAGCAATTTTAATTTTTTATAACTCAACATGTGATTCTTGACCCGGTTTATGTCCGATAGTGGTGGGATGAATGAATT